TTTGGTGTTATAATACTTTGATTATTTTAGTTGTAGTTTAATACTTAATTTAAATTTCTATCTATTTTATAAATATACAATAACCCTAAGATTGTAGCCCAAATATCACTGGTTCGAATATTGCATATCGAATTGCAATATTAAACATGTAGAAGCAATATCGACTTCTTAAATTAATATTATTTTTCAGAATTACTATGGAGAAATTATATCTTTGTGCAAACTATATGAGACTGGTTCTTTTAATGTTTTAGTCGGGATAACCGCTGCATTTTAAACTTCTTCATAATCTAGCATGATTGGATCCAATGATCATTATACAAGATTGTGTTTAATAGGGTGGCTCATTTCACCACTTTTTGGCGTGTTAATGAATTTGTAGGACAATGACAGGTCTACATCTACACTCGTCACAATCTACACATCATATAAATGTGAAATGTGAAATGAGAAAAGAGGGATTCCATTTCAAATTTGATGCGTACAGAGCAATTTTTTAGGGGTAAATTTAGAAGATGCCAGTGCGGTCGGTCTGTTGAGCACGAAAGTAAAAATATGTTTTCATTTAAACGGGTCCAAACTGTTATTTGGCCCACTAATCGTGCACCCATCGCCAATGCAGTCAAATTCGGGATTTTGATCGTAAAATCGTAGGATTTTAGGATTTTACTTAGGGATTCCGATCTTGATTTTACTATAAAATCGGTGGACCTTAAAATCGTTTAAAATCGGGACTAAAATCGTTAAAATCATAAAATAGTACCGAAATCGGGATTTTGATCGTAAGAGAACAAAATAGGTGGTTTGAGCAAATTTAAAATAAGTATAACTGTTTCAGCGGAAAGGGCAATGGAATCTTCTCAGATATTTTTCTATTAGAAAAATATTCAAAAATAATAAAAATAACCAAATTAGGGTTCGGTTAATCTCTTTCCCTTCACCCCATTTAACTTATTGGTAAAACACCTGTCCTAATATTGGAAGTATGTAAGAACTAACATCATTATTAACTAATTAATTTATTAATGAATATATTTGTACCAAGCCACTAACATTACTTATTTTATTGGAGTTCAATTATTTTTAGTTTTAAATCATACTTAGTAGACGATGTCGAAATATTACTTTGAGTTAAACAACCTAGACATAACATGAAAATAAGAGTCAAACTCATGAACTATATCCCTTCATCATGAATTATTTTGAGTTACACATTAAATAACAATTAAAATAGTGATTTTGGAACATTAATCTTGAGAATTATCTTATGGAAAAAAAATCTTCTGAATTATCATTTTAAATGCCATGTGTCTTTGTGATATTAATAATTTACCTTATTAATATTCTTATATGCTATGTTCTATATGGTACTTAAAATCCTACGATTTTACGATTCGATTATACGCAGTTTTCGATTTTAGGTAAAATCCCGATTTTAACTGCTTTGCCCATCGCAGCCTCTCCAAATCTTCCTATTCTACTCGCCGGGTCATCTCCTCCACTACAAAATATCTCCTCATGTACTCAAAGTTCTCACTGAAACCTAATATATACAACTTAGGCGCAGAGGGAGCAACCGATGGATTGTAGCGACCCCCACTATTTTGATAGCTAATCAAGAAGAGCGTGTTTGTTTAGTTGTATGGTGATTCACTTAATTAACAATTTTTATTCCGTTGACAGCCTCCTCTCCGCAATTGTATTGTGTTCACGAAGATCTGAAGGCGCAAGTGCAACAGGTCAGGGGTAAACAATATGTATAAAGCGTTGGCCAAATTGAATTGAGTCATTCTACTTGGAATATGAAGATTTTTGCTTAATTACTTTGGTTCGTGATGCAACTATGTTATGTTTGAAGGTAGACCAACGCAAACAACAGCACAGCTCCATGGCTATTCTGCACATTAGGTAGTTGGGGCATTAATTGATAATTATTTGGGATTATTCCTACAAGTACATAATTTTGAACGTGCCTTTATATTGCATTGATTAATAGTTGTTTGAGATTTTTCAAATGAGTGATTTGACATGTTAAACTATCTTATTTTTGAAAATGGAGTCTTCGAAGTGGAATATGAAGATTTTGGATTAAGCTTGGTTTCGTAACGCCCTTATGGGTGTTTATTCTCTAAAATGCAGCTGTCTTTCAAAGTGCCCGTTGCAAATGGCAAGTCAGGATACAACGATGGTACCGGTACACGTTCATATCATTAGTAGGTAGCAGATTGTGTCCATTCTACTATATCATTTAGCTAAATACTTAGTTGTTCTTTTCAACTAAAAATTATGCTTAAATGCTGTGATTGGCCTCAGAAATGTATGTCTTTGCATTAACTGTTAATGATTGTGAGTTTTGGTTTAATGGTGAAAAGTCCATTTATTTAGAAGTCTAAATTGGGCAAACCTATTGGACAATAGGAATGCCATACATTAGTGTCGTGGGAGGTTTGTTTGATGTCTCAGGGTGTTAGATTTTTAAGAAGGTTGTTTGTTGTGGCAGAGAGTCCCTAAAGCTAGCGAGGTATTCCTATGTGGGCTTTTTCTTTGTTTGACTTTTTCTCGCCTTTTTTCTTATCTCTTTTTCTATTTTTGGTTTTTGTGTTCTACCTTTAGTTGCTACGTCTTCATTTGTGAGCCATCTATACTTTTCTTATTCAGTGCCTAAAAATCATATATACTCGATTGCATAGTAGTTACTAATAGATACATTTATACCAATAGAGAGATTTTAAGTTTTGTCAGTTGTTAGTTTTAATATTTACTTACATTGGTTGTTTATGTAGTTTTCTTTGTAATATTTCTCATTATACAACTAATTACTATGGCTACGTAGTTGTATAAGTGGGGGTTGGACATGATAGTTCTTAGAAGCATCAATACTTGAAGGTTATTATAATGACCAAATTCTAAAGTTATGGTTTGCCTTCAACTTGCTTGGAGCATTTCAATTATGCATCAATTGTTCTCTCCGTGTAGTTAACTCTCAGACAAATCGAAAATCTTGCTGATATGTGCTTGATTGTAGTTAAATTTAGGGTTCTACTGCATTGTTGCTTTACTCTTTTTTCGTGGTTGAGTCTACTTCAAAAAATTTAGTTTGATTTAGAAAATTTTGCTTCTGCAGTCCTGTCTTGCCACCAACGCGTTCAATAGATGGAGACGGGAGAGGCGAAGGCTATTTTTGTGTTGTTGTTGCTGGTTTAGGGATCGGTTTGTGAAGAAGAGGGAGAAGAGAGGGGGAAAGGGAAATGCAGGAGAGGGGGATAACTCTTTTCTCCGACAAAAATGGAGTGAAGAAAGGAATTATGATCAGTAAGAATATGGTTATCTTACATAACGGTCTCTATTCTGTTTGAATTGAGCTTGAGAGGCAGTGATAAGGACGAGCTGCAACCAATTCATAGTGAGAAGAGAGCTATGAACTGTGATCATGTCTTATTTCAAGTTAGAAGGTAGTTTCAGTATAAGGATTATTTAATTTGACAAGTTGTTTCGTCCATGATTCTTGGTAGTTTCAGTGCCATTCTATCCAATGTTTAGTCTGTAATTTTTGAGAATTGATGTGCGAGTAATGACTTTCACTTATCTTCAACTATTATGTGTGTATTTATTGACATGTGATAGAATTCTCTTTTCCTTTTCATTGAATTCATTTTCATACTCTAATTGTATTATTTGTACATAGGCAAATCATGCTCGAGATGGAAACTCGCTGATATGGCTGGTGCAAGGAATGAAGCCATCATTAGAATTCAGACCGACAACGGGGAGGGATGCCCAGGACTAATTCAATGATGATTGATGATGGTATAATAAAAACTGCAGTCTGCATCAGCACCAATTTCTAGGCCTAAGTAAAGGTATTCAACCCAGAACTCTGCTTAGCGCTAAAAATTGCCCTCACCCAACCTTGATCCTGTTTGACCTACTTCTGAAGAGTCAAGATATATGACTAATCCTCCCCGTTCGTATTTTCTTATTGACTCTTTCTGACCCTGTAGGTTGGGGCGGGTCGGGAAGAATTGGATTAGTGGGTCGGTCCTAATCAAGTGGAATCCCAATCCCTTCACTCTCACTTGCTTTCTCTCCCATTCCACAAGTGGGTAACATACAGTAATCCGGCCAACGGGCCGGGTAATAAGCTAGTTGTGTAGATATAGAGCATTAGTTTCTTGCATGCAACCAATTAGGTCAAACGTAATGGAAGATATGATCAGGGAGAGTAGTATATATAATGGGCATTATTGATGCGTGTGGGATTGTGAGCAAAAAAGGCGATAGCTATTAGCTAGACATCAAGGTTGCCAATCCGCATGTTAATGCATCTGTTGATTCATTTTGATCCTAATCCAGTGAACATGTGATGTCATTTTCCCCTTTGTTTTGCGAAATGTGCAAAGCAAAATAGTGCCCTAAATGAGTGTCTAACTGCTTTTGGAAATGAGCGTCTTGAATCTTGATCACCAATGATTGCTCTGGGTGACCCAAATTCGGTTTCCTTTTTTATTTTTATTTATTGAACTCATAGCTCTCTGGGATTATTTTCTTTGGTGTTTAACGCATTCCTTTTCTAGCTTATTGTATGCACAAGTAGTCCTTCGATGGTCAACACAAAGTATCCATCGCATGCATGGGGGACTCTTTTTTGAAAGAGGTTGAGATAGTACGTTCTTGTTTACAACATGTTTCATTCCATTTCGGGCATGGTTAGGGGTAGCTAGTTACGTGGGTGGTTAATCCGCGTATTGATATCGATCCACCCGCATATAACCCGCAAACAGTGGGTGATTGATGTGGGTGAACCCGCAAAAAATTATCATTCATAGATGTAGGAAGAAATAAAAATAAGTTATGAAAACATGACTTCTTAATGTTATTTTTGGTATTTTAATGAATTTTGAACACGATCCAAAACTAGTAAAAATACAAAAACTATCACCATTTTGCATACACCAGCCACTTAGAGATGCATAGACTTTCCACAATAAAATTGCTCAAACTCACATTTTCTTGTGAATTAAGGAATCAACAAACTCATTGATGTTCCTATCAGAACTCCCACCTTCACTCGCAGCTTCCTTCATCACTCTCTTCCATAGCTCTGCATTCCTCTTCATTTCTTCTCCTTTCTTCCCTTCCATCACTTCCTTCAAACACTTCTCTACAACTTCCCTCTTCACAATCCCATCTTGGTCCGCCTCGACCCTCAGTCCCATCTTCCAAACATCCTCTATGTACTTAGCATTCGTCCCTTGGTCCGTCCACTGAGGCATTGCCACCATGGGAACTCCCAAACTCAATGCCTCCAGTGTCGAGTTCCACCCACAGTGTGTCATGAAGCACCCCACGGCATCATGATCTAGCACCCCGAGCTGCGGGCACCAAGACACGACCAGACCCTGCTCGGACATGTCAAAATTTACAGGGAGCTTGGCCTCCTCAGATGCCCTAACAACCCATAAAAAGTAGTGATTGCTGTTCTTCAGTCCATGAGAAAGTTCTTCCATCTGCTCAGGACCTAAACTAGCCATGCTGCCAAACGAGACGTAAATTACCGAGCCCATAGGCTTGTTCTCTGACAGAATCGAAGAATTGAAGATTGCAGAGTTGCAGAAGAGAAGCAGTGAAGAAGAGAAGTCGAGCTGATGAAGAAGAGGAAGAAATCCAGATTGGGGAAGGATTCGCTGGAATCATTGAAGAAGTAAAGAAGAACGACGACGTATTAATAGAAGAGAAGTGAACAAGAGAGAACGACAGCGTTTTGTTTATTTTCCCTTAATAGCCGTTAAGTTACTGTTTAGTTTTAATTTGGACGAATGATGTAAGGACAGCTGGCTCATTTTGTTTAATTGAATTCCAGCTATAAAAGCTGAAGGGAGACTCAGAGATACCTGAGCTTCTTCTCCAAATCTCATTACAAAATTGTTATGGTATCAGAGCTCAACGAGCTCTAGGGTTTTTCCGCCGCCCACAGCACAATGTCTGCAGCACAGACTCCACCAAACACGCCGCCGAACAATGGAACAGGTGGTAGTGCATCGACGACGACCACAGGTGCAACAGGGTTTCAGTTTGGGACCTTCAACCAGAACCAACTTCAGCCTGAGACAGTGGTATTTGGTAACCCTTACTATCTCAACCCGAATGAGAATATGTCTCAATCCCTTGTTGCTGAGAGTTTCGATGGAACTAATTATGTGATGTGGAGTAGATCTATGCAAGTTGTTCTTAAGACTAAGAACAAACTGGGTTTTATTGATGGGTCAGTGCCCATTCCTCCCCGAGATGCAGATTTGTTTAACTTGTGGGATGCTTGCAACACTGTAGTTCTTTGTTGGCTACAGAACTCTATGATTAAGGAGATAAGAAGGTCTGTGTTGAACCACACAAATGCTAAGGCATTATGGGATGAGTTGAAGAGACGTTATGGTCAACCTAATGCACTTAGAATCTTGAACTTGGAAGATGAAATACAGGCTTGTAAGCAGGGAACTAGATCTATAAGTCAGTATTATACAGCCATCAAAGGGCTCTGGGATGAGTATGTTGAGTTTAGTCCTGTTGTTCCATGTGTTTGTGCACCTGGGAATCCCATACCCTGTGCTGCTGTGGCTGCTTTTATCCAAAAGCAGGAGACTGACTACCTTGTAAGGTTCCTGAGAGGACTCAATCCTGAGTATGAAGTGATCAAGACTCAACTCCTGCTGCAGAAACCATTGCCTACAGTATCAACAGCAGTGGATGATTTGCTGCAACATGAGCAGAAGTTGAAGGCAGATAACTCTGCAGGAAACAAGAAAGGCCAAAGTCTGGCTTTGGCAGTTGGTGGAAGCACTGGTAACAATTCCAGGGATAACAGTTCAAGGGACAACAATGAAGGAAGAGGAAGGAAGTTTTGTCGATTTTGCAAAATGAACAACCACACTATAGAAGACTGTTGGAAGCTGAAAAGAAAGCAGGAAATGCAAAGAGATGGCAGTGGTAATGGGGGGTCATCCTCTAGTTCTGGTTCAAGCTCCAGCACTCCAAGGTTTGCTGGTTCTATCTCTCAGAACAGTGGAAGTGACAGTGTGTCTGAGGGAAGTGTCATGAATGAGAGCAAGTCATCCACAACACTTGGTTTTACTCCAGAAGAGATGAACAGGCTCAGGATTTTATTGCAATCTGGTGCTGGCACTCAACCTTCACCACCCACCTCACCATCCATTAACCACCAAGCATATTCAGCCACTCTTTACCCCACCACCTTCCCTTCATTCTCAGGTAAACATGTCCTATCTTCTTCTCAGAACTGTAAAACACAAAACCTAGCCTTATGGATTGTAGATACAGGAGCCTCAGATCACATAGCCTGTCATCTATCCCTTTTCTCCAGTTATAGACCTGTCCAAGATACTTTTGTTTATCTCCCAAATAGCACCAAAGTTAATGTCACATGTATAGGGACAGTTACACTAGATTGTGGATTAAAACTACATGATGTTCTCCTAGTGCCACAATTCTCTTTTAACCTTATCTCTGTTAGCAAACTTACCCTTGATAACCCATATTCCTTACATTTTCATTCTGATAAATGTGAAATCCAGGACCTCTTAAACCAGAAGAGGATTGGTTTAGCCCACACAACTAGAGGACTCTACCATCTTGCCCTATCTTCAAGACAACCAAAGCCTTCCTCACCACTTCTTCAACACCAAGCAGCCACCATCTTCAACTTCATTCCACAAGACCTCAACCTGTGGCACTGGAGACTAGGACACCCTAGCCATGATAGGCAGTCTTTACTTAGCCATGTAATTCCCTCTATAGCTAGAACCAAGACCACTCACTGTGAAGTGTGTCATTTGTCCAAACAAAGAAAATTACCTTTCCCTGTTAGCACCAGCATTGCACCTGAGGCTTTTCATTTGATACACATGGATATTTGGGGACCATTGTCCACAGTTTCTTATGATGGTTTTTCATACTTTTTAACTGTTGTGGATGATTTTACTAGATGTGTGTGGGTGTACTTGATGAAACACAAAAGTGAGGTAAGGGGGTTAATCCAAGGTTTTTGCAACTTGGTTGAGAACCAGTTTCACAAATCTGTTAAGGTTATTAGAACAGATCAAGGTAAAGAATTTGAGATGTGTGAATTCTTTAGTTCAGCAGGCATAGAACACCAGGTCTCCTGTGTAGAGACCCCTGAACAGAATGGAAGAGTGGAGAGGAAACATCAGCACATTCTTAATGTGGCTAGATGTTTGAAGTTTCAGTCAGGGTTGCCTTTGGTTTATTGGAGTGACTTCATACTACATTCTGTTTACTTGATCAACAGAATGCCTACCCCCATTCTAAACAACAGAACCCCCTATGAAGTGTTACACAAGAAAGCTCCATTTTTGGGCCATTTGAAGGTATTTGGATGTCTCTGTTATGCCAATACCTTGGTCCATGGTAGAACAAAATTTGCTCCTCGAGCAAAGCAGTGTGTGTTTATAGGGATCCCCTCTGGTCTCAAAGGATACAAAGTCCTTGACATCCACACCAAGCAAGTCTTTTTCTCCAGAAATGTTTCATTCTATGAAACTATACTTCCCTTCAAATCTTCTGACACAACCTCCTCTCCTCCCAGTCAACCTACTCCTAATACTTCTGATACAGTTCCAGCTCCATCTCTGCATATTCCCTTTTCTCTTAATCCTGCTCAACCTGCTCCACAGTCTCACTCATCCATAGATGAAAGGGGGGATCCTGAGCAGGAGTTCTCATCTGGTCCAAGGACAACACCAAGAAGTGAACACTACACCTATTTTGACTCAGATGAGCAAGAGCTATATCCTCAAGCTGATCCAGACCTTAATGAACCCAGCACAGAGGATAATAGAAGACCCTCAAGACACATAAAACTGCCAACCAGATACAATGATTATGAATTGGACTCTTCTCTCAAGTTTGGAGCATTTGGTGGGGTAAATGCTAGCACCAAGTACCCTATCTGTCTGAATGTTGATTCTTTAAGCAAAGAAGACAGATGTTTTGCACTGAGTGTTATCAATCTTGTGGAGCCAAAATCTTATTATGAGGCAGTGAAATCAGATGTGTGGAACAGGGCTATGAAAGATGAAATGCATGCCTTGGAAGAGAACCAGACATGGGACATAGTTCCATTGCCACCAGGAGTGAAGGAAATAGGGAATAAGTGGGTTTATAAGATAAAACTACATCAGGATGGATCACTGGAAAGGAGTAAAGCTATACTAGTAGCTAAGGGTTATACACAGGTGTATGGAATTGATTTCCTAGACACATACTCACCTGTAGCCAAGATTAATACAGTGAAAACATTCTTAGCAGTTGCAAGTGTGAAGCAGTGGGTCCTAGAGCAATTGGATGTATCCAATGCTTTTCTGCATGGAGATTTAGAGGAAGTGGTTTACATGAAGTTACCCCTGGGATTGGAAGTGCCATCTGGAAGCAATCAGAAGATGACTTGTAGACTGAAAAAGTCACTCTATGGCCTCAAGCAGGCATCAAGGCAATGGTTTGCAAAATTGACAGGTTTCCTCTTAAAGTTTGGTTTTTCACAATCTGCTTCTGACTATTCTCTTTTTACCAAGTGGACACATGGGAAGATTACAGTTTTGTTGGTGTATGTTGATGATATCATATTGGGAGGTGATTCAAGGAAGGACATTGAGCAAGTGAAAGCAGCATTAAGTAAGGAATTTAAGATAAAACTTCTTGGACCTTTGAAATACTTTCTGGGGTTGGAAGTGAATAGAAATGAGAATGGATTGGATGTATGTCAAAGGAAGTACTGTATTGACTTGTTAAAGGATACAGGGTACTTGGAATCTAAAGGATGTAAAACTCCAATTGATACCAAAGTAAAGTTGTCATCTCAGGGCACTTTACTAGAAGATGCAGAAAGTTACAGAAGATTGGTGGGAAGGCTGCATTATCTAACTATCACTAGACCTGACATAGCCTTTGCTGTTCAGCAGCTATGTCAGTACCAGAAGTCTCCTTGCTCAGAGCATATGCAAGCTGCTTACAGGGTCCTCAGGTACTTGAAATCATCTCCTGATCAGGGTATTCATTTTAGCAATCAGGCTGAGTTAAAGTTGACAGGCTACAGTGACTCAGATTGGGCAAGTTGCCCAGACACCAGAAGATCCATCACTGGATATTGCACCATGCTTGGTTCCTCCCTGATAACCTGGAAGACAAAGAAACAAACAACTGTCTCAAGATCTTCATCTGAGGCAGAGTATAGAGCACTGGCTCACCTTGTCTGTGAAGTGGAATGGCTGAAGAGGTTGCTGACAGAGTTAACAGTGGAGGTCCCATTGCCTATAACAGTGTACTGTGACAACAGATCTGCTATCCACATAGCAGAAAACCCTGTTTTCCATGAGAGAACAAAGCACATTGAAATTGACATTCATGTGACTAGGGAAAGGATCAAGACAGGTTTAATCACTTTGAAGTACATCAACGCAGCAGAGCAACTAGCTGATTTATTCACCAAGGGGTTGGATCGATTCAGGCTGAGAGACTTACTTGTCAAGTTGGGGATCAAGTTGATACCACCAACTTGAGGGGGGCTGACAGAATCGAAGAATTGAAGATTGCAGAGTTGCAGAAGAGAAGCAGTGAAGAAGAGAAGTCGAGCTGATGAAGAAGAGGAAGAAATCCAGATTGGGGAAGGATTCGCTGGAATCATTGAAGAAGTAAAGAAGAACGACGACGTATTAATAGAAGAGAAGTGAACAAGAGAGAACGACAGCGTTTTGTTTATTTTCCCTTAATAGCCGTTAAGTTACTGTTTAGTTTTAATTTGGACGAATGATGTAAGGACAGCTGGCTCATTTTGTTTAATTGAATTCCAGCTATAAAAACTGAAGGGAGACTCAGAGATACCTGAGCTTCTTCTCCAAATCTCATTACAAAATTGTTATTCTCAAGCCAATCCATACAGTGTTTGCGGTCGGACTTGAAGATGCTGAGCCCATAGTCTTTGTCGTCCCGCAATTGCTGGTCCAAGTACATGGATGGGATTGTTGGGCCAATGGTTTTCATGGGCCAGAGCTTTGACAGCCAATCCCCTGCCTGTATGGAGAAATGTAAATTTGAACTTCAGCAATTGATTAAAATTCGGGAAATTTTGATTAAGTTGATTGATATTTTAAGAGGTTTAAAATGTTTAGAATGTACTCTACTTAATGGTGGAATACTAATTATTGGCCCAATGAGACTTCGGATATCCATGTAAAAGTCCGACTATTTTGTTGTTTGACCACTCTCTGTCTTAAGATTCCTATCGTGAATCAAACAAATCAAACAATCGAAAAGGATTCTCAGTTTCTCACCTCTTGCTCCAGCTCGTAGATCGTGTTGCAGAGCACCCAATCGGCCTTATCGATGTTATCGAACTGCGCCAAGAGCATGTCGAAAGCCGCCGAGTAAGATCCATATTCATATATGAGTGAAGGCATATCCTTAGGCTTCAGGGGAGGTAGCCCAGGAATCATCGTTTGCGCCTCCAGAATCGGCGGCTTCAGCCAACCCTTGTAGCAATGGTAGTAAATGCTTCCCACGGCGCAAGACTGAGTGAAGAACGCCGCTAACAACGTTTTGTTGTGAAACCCTAAAAGCCTGAGTTCATTTCATTTCTCTCTTCAGCTTATATAGCTGGGCATAAGAGTACAGAGTTCAGTGGTTGCTTACAATTCAAGAAAGAAGACAAACCATAGTGAAAAAGAAAGTACAGGCCGAAAATGGTAAAAGACTGAAATGAGAAGATCAGGTATCAATTGGCATTTTGCCCAAAACGACGTCAGCCCAGGAACGCTTCTTTAACTCTGCTGATGATGGAACGGTGTCGCTTTGGATCGTCTCCTTCCCTCTTGTAGACGACGTCGCTCCATTGTTGACCGTTGGAGATTTGAATTGCAGCTGCAGTGGTGAAAAACTTCCGTTTTCCCCTGATACCCCCCCGCAAGCTGGCGGGCACAGATTGAGGACGCCAAGCTTGGAGAGGAGCAACTGGAATGGAGCTGGAGGAAGAGGCTTCGTAAATAGATCAGCAAGCTGGTGGACTGAAGAAACATGAAGAACCTTGATTGTTTTGGAAAGCAGCTTCTCACGGACGAAATGGCAATCGAGTTCGATATGCTTTGTCCGTTCGTGGAATGTGGGATTCTCGGTGATGTAAATCGCGGACTGATTATCACAGTAGATGGTGGCAGGCTGAGGATGAGCAATCTGAAAGTCTTGGAGTAAATAAAGGAGCCATTGGACTTCACAAGTAGTATAAGCCAAGGCTCGATACTCTGCCTCACAAGATGAGCGAGAAATTGTCGTCTGCTTCTTGCATTTCCACGAGATCAGAGAGTCCCCCAAATAAACACAGTAGCCAGTGACGGAGCGCCGAGTGTCGACACAGGCAGCCCAGTCAGAGTCACTGAAGGCTTTCAAGTGAAGATTGGAAGTGGAGGAGAAGAACAAGCCACTGGTGGGAGCTGATTTCAGGTAACGCAGTATCCTCAGAACTGCCTTGTGATGTGAATTACTGGGGTTGGACATGTATTGGCTGACCTGCTGGGTTGCATAGCTTATATCTGGGCGGGTAGTTGTCAGATAGATCAATTTGCCCACCAATCGTCTGTATGCTTCTGGATTAGGAAATGGGTCACTGTGTTCTGAGGAGAGATGAACCTTGTAGTCCATAGGAGTAGTGGCAGGTTTGCAGTTGAGGAGATCAGCTTCCTCAAGAATCTCCAATGTATATTTTCTCTGAGAAATATGAATCCCTTTTGTACTTCTGGCTACTTCAATGCCCAAGAAAAATTTTAGATCACCCATGTCTTTAATGCTGAATGTATGATGCAGAAATGACTTGACATGCTCAATTTCACTTAGGTCATTCCCTCCAATAACCAAATCATCAACGTAAATCAGTATACAGGTATAAGAAGAACCTGATTGTTTGTAGAAAAGTGAATGGTCTACTTTGCTGGCCATGTAGCCTTGTGACTGCAGTTTGTCTGCAAGCTTTGTGAACCATTGCCTCGATGCTTGCTTGAGTCCATAGATTGATTTCTTGAGTCTGCATACTGGGTTCTTAAGACCAGGTGGAGGGATATAGCCAGGTGGTAGTTTCATATACACTTCTTGGTCCAAATCACCATGCAGAAATGCATTGTTGACATCCAATTGTTGGATGTGCCAGTTTTGAGATGCAGCAATGGCTAGAAACAGCCTGATTGTTGTCATTTTGACAACTGGAGCAAAAGTGTCCTGATAGGCAACACCTTCTTGTTGGCTGTACCCTTTGGCCACTAGCCTAGCCTTCTGTCTCTCTAGGCTTCCATCTGAAAGATGTTTGTTTTTGTAAACCCATTTGTTGCCAACTGGTTTCTTGCCAGGAGGTAGTTCAACCACATCCCAAGTCTGGTTAGCCTCTAGAGCCTGTGTTTCTGTTGTCATTGCATCATGCCATTCTGGAAATTGAATTGCTTCCTTGTATGTTTCTGGTTCTTTAAGAGAAGAAATGCTTGAGACAAAAGTTTTGTGAGTGGGTGAGAGATTAGAGTAGTCAAGAAAAGAGGGAAGGTCTGATGTCATACCTGTAGGTAGCAGTTGAGCAGAATGACTGGTTGAAGAACACTGCTTAAGCAGGTTACAATGGTATTGTTGGAGGTGAGTAGGTCTTTTGGAAACTCTAGTGGACTTCCTGAGGGGTGGTTGGGGATCTGGTGGTGGGGTAGGGGATGAAGAATCAGGAGAAGGAGATGGAGTGGCTGGATCATCATCAGGATCAAAAGGGGTAGGTGGATTGGATGGTGGATCAGGGAGAATAGTGTGGGAAGGGGGGTTGTAATTGGGGCTGGGATCATCATAGAGGGCAGGGTCAGATGGAGGGGAATAGGTAGGAGAATGCTCAAGATCAGTGTTGTGGAATGGGAACACATGTTCATGAAATTGAACATCTCTGGACACAAACACATCATGTGTGGACAGGTCATAAATCTTGTAACCTTTAATACCACGATGGTAACCTATGAAAACCCCTTTGCGAGCTCTAGAGTCAAATTTGGTTCTGTTGTTGGAAAGAGTAGAGGCAAAACATAAGCAGCCAAAGACCTTAAGGTCAGACAGGTCTGGTTTTTGGTTATGGAGCTTTTCATAAGGAGTCAGGTTCCCCAGAACAATTGTGGGAACCCTGTTAATCAAATAAACTGAGTGTTTGACACAATCAGCCCAAAAGGCAGGAGGAAGGTTTGATTGAAATTTGAGGGCCCTAGCTACAGAAAGGATATGTTGATGCTTCCTTTCCACTTTGCTATTTTGTTGTGGTGTTTCAACACAGGATTGCTCATGGAGAATGCCTGTGTGATTGAAGAAATCTATCATGGCAAATTCTTTACCCTGGTCACTTCTAATTTTCTTGATGTGGGTCTGGAATTGTCTCTCAACATAGGAACAGAAAGCTTGTAGCTTAGGTCTAGCTTCAGACTTAGCTTGTAAAAGAATTAGCCAAGTCATTCTAGTGAAATCATCAACAATTGTTAAGAAGTACTTGAAACCATCATAACTGGGAATTGGATTAGGCCCCCATATATCAACATGCAAAAGTTCAAAAGCATGTGTAGTTACAGAAACACTTGAAGGGAAAGGAAGTCTCTTTTGTCTTGCATAATGACAGACATCACAGGGTATAGAACTGTATGTATCTATCTGTGGACAAAAGGTTTGCAAAATGGGCACTTTGGAATGGGAGACATGACCTAGTCTATGGTGCCAGATGTCAAATGTCTTGGTGCTGGCTGCTGTGATATGATGGGAGGGATTGGTATCTACAGGATTCTCTAGGTGGTAAAGGCCATAGGATAGCTTAGCAGAACCAGTCATCCTCCTCAGCTGCATATCCTGAATCAAGCAGACATCAGAGAAGAAGGTCAAGCATAGGGATTTGTTTTTGGTCAGTTGACTGACTGAGATAAGGTTGAAGCTAAATTGGGGAACAAAGAGAGCCTCATGCAACACTAGGCCTGGAATACAAGTAACTGTGCCTGAATGTGTTGCTTGTACTTTGGCTCCTGTAGGAAGAGTGATATAGATGTTCTGTATGGGTCTGGAGTGGGATAAATGATTGATAGAACAAACAATATGGTCAGAAGCACCTGTGTCCAATATCCAGGTGTGATGATGTGGTGAGTTATCACTCACATTGAGCAGGAATTTACCTGAAGAATCTGGTTGTTTGTTGATGAAGCTGGCAGCTGAGAAGGAAGGACCTGAACTTGAAGAAGGTTTGGAGTTTCCTTTGTCATTCATCAGAGACATCAGCTTCATGTAATCAGCCTTTGTAAGCTTGACTTCTTGAGTCAGATCTTCTGATGTAGCAGAATGAGCTTGAGGTCTGGCTCTGACTGGATGCCTAGGATTTGGATAGCCATGCTTGCTGTAGCACTTCTCTTCAGTATGTCCTGGTTTCTTGCAGTAGGTACACTCTATGGTTCTGGTGGAAGGGTTGGATGGTTTGGTACTCATCCCAGGTGGCCACCCATGTTTGTGGTAGCAAGTTTCCTCTGTGTGACCAAGGAATTTGCAATGAGTGCAGTAAGGTCTAGGTCTTCTGATCTGAGAATTGTTTGAGTTTTGTGCTGCTAATGCCATGGTGTCCACTGCAAGAACCCTGTTGAGGTGTGAACCATACTGCTGGCGCTCATGTTGGAGCATTCTTTGAAACACACGATCTATGTCAGGTAAGGTATCCCCAAAGAGAACTTGAGATCTCACAGTGGAGAAGTTCTCATTCAGGCCTCTTAGAAACTGAATGACAGAGTTGGTGTCTTTGTATTGGAAGACTAGTTTCATAGCTGCACAAGTTTCTCTACTGGTAGGAGTGCAAGTGCAGTGTTGAAGAGGTTGATAGTTATCTAATTCATCTCTAATGGCAATGAAATTACCATAGTATTCAGTGACAGATTGACTACCTTGTTTGAGGTTGCTGAGGTTTTCAGTGAGCTCAGCAATTCTGACCACATCACCCTGACCATAGCGAGATCTCAGACTCCTCCAGGCCTCAAGAGATGTCTTGCAGGACATGATTGTCTTGCGGATGCTGGGTTCAACTGCTTGCTGAATCCAGGAAAGAACCATGACATTGTTCCTATTCCAAGCCCAAGCATTCTGATTGTCTTCTCCTGGGTGTGGAATGGAACCATTGATGAAGCCAAGTTTGTTCTTGGCTCCCAAAGCATTAAGCATGGCTTGGCTCCAGTCATTGTAGTTGGTGGTGGTTAATTTCTCACCCACCAAGACAAGACCTGGCTGCTCTGAACCATGTAAGTAGTAAGGATCGGACATAGGGTCAACAGGAGGCTGGTGCTGTGCATTTGCAGCAGCAGCAGGATCCAGATCTACCTGTGCATTATCGGCCATGTTTGTGGCGGCTAGGGTTTAGAATGGCTCTGATACCATAACAACGTTTTGTTGTGAAACCCTAAAAGCCTGAGTTCATTTCATTTCTCTCTTCAGCTTATATAGCTGGGCATAAGAGTACAGAGTTCAGTGGTTGCTTACAATTCAAGAAAGAAGACAAACCATAGTGAAAAAGAAAGTACAGGCCGAAAATGGTAAAAGACTGAAATGAGAAGATCAGGTATCAATTGGCATTTTGCCCAAAACGACGTCAGCCCAGGAACGCTTCTTTAACTCTGCTGATGATGGAACGGTGTCGCTTTGGATCGTCTCCTTCCCTCTTGTAGACGACGTCGCTCCATTGTTGACCGTTGGAGATTTGAATTGCAGCTGCAGTGGTGAAAAACTTCCGTTTTCCCCTGATAGCCGCCGCCGTCAGCCCGAACCGTTTCGCGACGTCCGAGGCACCACGGAATGAAAGGGTCGTAAATTATGCAGGTGGCAGGGCACTCTGTTTCGCCGAGGTCGGTGATGAGCTGGGAGAGAGTTTGGGAGCCGGCTGTCTGGAAGCTGGAGAGGTAGGCGTCGCTGGACTCTGCGGCGGCGCGTCCACCTTCGTCGAAGCCGTCGGAGATGGTGGCGAGGTGGATGGTGGTAGAGCAGGAGGAGGCGGCGGAGGAGGAGGAGTTGGCGACGGTTTTGGAGATGAAGCGGGTGTTGACGAGGGTGACTCGGACGCCACGTGGGATGAGGCGTTTGGAGAATTGGAGCATCGGGTTGATGTGGCCTTGTGCTGGAAAAGGTATGACGATGCAGTGAGGCTGGGAGGAACAAGGTGTTGATGCTTGTTCGTTGTTGGCCGCCATTGTTGCTTTAGCTGTGGTTTGGTTTTGTTTGGAGGAAAAAAGGGAGCTTCAACTTTATAGTGTGTGAATGGCTGTTGTTGTGCCGTATGGAATGACCTCATTCGATCACATGACAGCAACTGCAGTGACATAGTGGGATGAGATGCGATCATGCGATGGCGGGCGTTGTCTGGTTTTGTCGGATTTCCCTTGGCCGGGCTTCCAAGGCGAATTTGGAGTGAGCTATAACACCACAATTTGTGCACGACAACTTTGGGACCAAGAATATTGGGTTCAGTGTTCATGACGCTCGTCATACGGCAGTTCCTAATCAAGCCCTGGCCGAACCACTCCATGTGGACCAAACAGGTTCCCTAACAAAACCTGAAGTACCATAATTGATTACATGTATTTTTTTTTTCTTTCAATTTTTAAACCTAAGCTGAAATAGTACCGAATTATGTTCCTTCAACAGTAATATCAGAGCCATGTTGAGTTTTCAACAACTCATAGTCAAAGGAAACGCTCTCGAGGAAATGACTTCATGGATGGGAGGCAGAACAAGAAAATGAGTTTACCGATCTGGCCGAGTCGCAGACTAGTGGTAGAGTAGTCACTCTCTTTAAGACGACCGCGACACTGCCTCGTATTGGACACAACAGAATATCAACCGGTCACCTCTAGGATAAGCCACTATTTATCTCTCTGTTTGTGCGCAATCAGAGTTCTCTAAAGAATACTCTCTCATGTTTCTACTCTTTGGATTGTATATATAGAGAGTTGGGGGAGTCCACTTTTGAAAGGAGCAGAAAATAAAAAATATTTTTTCTTTCTTCGGGAATAAAGTACGTATGTTAAGGAAGATAATTATCCCCCTAATTAAAAATATGTCTTTTATTTGGGGTAATTAATCCGACGTAATTATCCTTGCTTTTATTTAAGAAAAACATGTTCCATAGTACGTAAATTCGTATTATCCTTCCTTTACTTTTATAGCTTTCAAAGTTATTCATCCCAACAAACCCCACTTAGTGATGACAACAAAACTTGAACCTGCGGCCTGCAGGTATCATATCCGACCCAACCCGGTCAACGCGGGTAAAACTCGTTCACTATTCACCGGGTTGGGTTTGGGTATACACGGGTCATGGATACCCAACCACATCCATATAATTAATTTTCCCAGTATATTTAACATTTCAAGCAACTAATCTTCTTTATATTTGTGGAGACATGTCTAATTTTTTCTTTCTAATTGTGTCGAATGAAGTTGATATTATCGAGTGGAGAGTGAAGAAGCTTAATTGACAAGGAGGAAGAAGCTTTCGATTAATCACGTTGTTCATGAATAATTTGTGATTTGCTTCAATTTTCTTGGGTTTTCTAGATTGTGTTGAACAATTTGTATGGTTAATTTGTGATTTGCTTGACTTTTCTAGAATGGTGTTTTATATATGGATAATTTGTATTGAGAGATTGATATTTGATTTTTATTTTGATAGGAACTTGTTATTGTAAATTTTTTTACAACAAAAACCCATAGGTACCCATGAACGTGCGGATACCCAGCGGGTTGGGTTGGGTTCGAGTTTTCCAAACCCAGTGGGTTTTGCCCCATATTTTTTTAATGATAAACCCATGTGTTTGGATTTGGCAAAGCCCCGACCCATTGTCATCCCTACCACCACTTGAATAGTTTTGTAAATTTCTTTGAGCATCAACAATCATATGATTGGACATAAACGATTTCGATTTGAACCTTAGTATAGTGGTTACACTTCAGATTCAACAAGAGTGACTCGTAGTGTTGAACTCTATCTCTGACAATGAAGCACACTAGATCTTTCAAAGTGTCATTCTCTAACAACCTTGGCGATTATGCCCTTGGCCAGCAGTGACATATTGAGTCATCTGTCGAAAGTCACGACTTTTTCAGTAAATGTTAAGGTCTAGAACCGTGGCTTCTGCAACACTCTCGACTTCCGTAAGGAGATCTTGTAAATTTTTGACATCTCAAGGCTTCTTCAATAAATGTCATAGCTTGGGTCGTGACATTCGTGCTCTGAACCGTGACATTTACAACCTCGTTGTCTTGTAACTATCCTATTTATATTCTTGTATCTGATTGTTCCTTCTTTTGGGATATCTAAAAAAAGAAGCAAGACCCTATAATTTCAAGGAGGAGAGAGAGGAAAATTTGATGTTTCACGAGAGAAAAGGAAATTCAATGAGGTGAAACTTAAGAGTATAACTTTAATGATGCCTTGGATAGAATTAGATTTCAATTCCATATTTCTCGAGGAAATTTTTTACTACGAAGAAATTCAACATAAAAAGTTATAGTTCAATAGTGTGTTTTTAGGTGTGAAATGCTCTTTTTTTACTTAGATAGATCGCTAGTAGATAGAAAATTACAAAGAGTTGAAAAGTAAATAGTGGTAATCAACCAAGTGCTGATCGACCGATGCAAGAGCCGTTTTGCCACGCAATGAGCAGCCCTGTTAATTCTACAAAGAGAAAGAATGCTTCTTTTTATTGGTTGCATACTAAAATATCATCATAACAAGATTAATGAAGAAATAAAAAATTTAAGTAAACTAGCTTCTTAATGTTATTTTGATATTTTAATGCATTTCGAACATAATTCAAAATTGAAAATAAAAATACATAAATTATCACCATTTTGCACACACAAGCCACTTAAACCTAGTGACGCATAGACTTTCCAAATTTTTTTTGCCCAAACTCACAATTTCTTGTGAATTAATGAATCAACAAACTCATTAATGTTCCTATCAGAACTTCCACCTTCACTCGCAGCTTCCTTCATCACTCTCTTCCATTGCTCTGCATTCCTCTTCATCTCTTGACCTTTCTTCCCTGCCATTACTTCCTTCAAACACTTCTCTACAACTTCCCTCTTCACAATTCCATCTTGGTCAGCCTCTGCCCTCAATCCCATCTTCCAAACATCCTCTATGTACTTAGCATTCGTCCCTTGGTCCGTCCACTGAGGCATTGCCACCATGGGCACTCCTAAACTCAGTGCCTCCAGTGTCGAGTTCCACCCGCAATGTGTCACGAAGCATCCCACAGCACAGTGATTTAGCACCTCGAGTTGCGGGCACCAAGACACGATCAGACCCTTTTCGGATGGGTCAAAATTTAGAGGTAGCTTGGCCTCCTCAGAAGCCCTGACAACCCATAAGAAGTAGTGATTGCTATTCTTCAGTCCATGAGAAAGTTCTTCCATCTGTTCAGGGCCCAGACTTGCCATGCTGCCAAATGAGACGTAAATGACCGAGCCCATGGGCTTGTTATCAAGCCAATCCATGCATTGTTTGCTATCGGGCTTGAAGATGCTGAACCCATAGTCTTTATCGTCCTGCAATTGCTGGTCCAAGTACATGGATGGAATTGTTGGGCCAATGGTTTTCATGGGCCATAGCTTTGACAACCAATCCGCTGTCTGTATGGAGAAATGAGAAGTAATTAGCCTAGGTAGCTGCATAATTGCACCAATTCTTAGCTCCAATCTTGGTTGGAGGCAGAAGCTCCAACCGTTCAAGGTGTCAGTTTGTTATTGGTGGATTCACCTTCCTTTTTTTAAAATATTTAATTATGCTAAGTAAATCAGGAATTACAATATTAAAAAATGATGAAATCACCAATAGAAAACTGACACATGACTGGTTGGAGCTTCTGTGTCCAACCAAGATTTGAGCTAAGAATTTTTCGCATAATTGTACAAAGGAACACAATTTCGATTATTTAAAATGAGACTTCGGATTGGAGATTTCCGCATAAAAGTGTAGCTACTTTGTTGTTTGACCACTCTCCTCTTTGTCTGAGATCCCTATTGAGAATCAGGCAAATCAAACAACCGAAAACGATTCTCACCTCTTGCTCAAGTTCATAGATCGCGTTGCAGAGCACCCAATCGGCCTTATCAATGTTGTCGAACTGCGCCAGGAGCATGTCGAAAGCCGCCGGGTAAGATCCATATACATAGATGAACGAAGGCATGTCCTTAGGCTCCAGGGGAGGCAGCCCCGGAATCAGCGTCTGCGCCTCCAAAACCGGCGGCTTCAGCCAACCTTTGTGACAGTGGTAGTAAATGCTTCCCACGGCGCAAGACTGAGTGAAGAACGCCGCCGCTGTCAGCCCGAACCGTTTCGCGACGTCGAGGCACCACGGAATGAAAGGGTCGTAAATTACGCAGGTGGCAGGGTACTCTGTTTCGCTGAGGTCGGTGATGAGCTGGGAGAGAGTTTGGGAGCCGATTCGCTCGAAAGTGGAGATGTAGGCGTCGGTGGATCCGGCTGCAGCGAATCCGCCTTCGTCGAAGCCGTCGGAGATGGTGGCGAGGTGGATGGTGGTGGAGCAGGCGGCGGCTGAGGAGGAGGAGGAGTTTGCGACGGTTTTGGAGATGAAGCGGGTATTGACGAGGGTGATTCGGACGCCACGTGGGATGAGGCGTTTGGAGAATTGGAGCATTGGGTTGATGTGGCCTTGTGCTGGATAAGGTATGATGAGGCAGTGAGGTTTGGGAGGAGAACAAGGTGTTGGTGGTGCTTGGTCGTTGTTGGCCGCCATTGTTGTGTTTGTTTTTGGTTCTTTTTGAGGTGGGTTTGGTTTTGTTTGGAAGAAAGCTTCCAACTTTATAGTGTGTGAATGGTTGTTGTTGTGCCGTATGGAGTGACCTCATTCGATCATACGACAGCAACTGCAGTACTGACATAGTGCGATGAGATGCGACGGCGGGAGTTGTCTCTGCAGGTTTTGTCGGATTTCCCTTGGCCGGGCTTCCAAGGCGAATTTGGAGTAGTAGTTTAGATGAGTTAAGTTATCAAACCACAATTTGTGCACGACTACTTTGGGGCCAAGTAGCCTTTGTCTGTTAGCAGCACAGTGATGTAAGCAATGATGAGGACTCTCCCTTTGACGGCTCATAGTAAGGTTGAGATCAAACCCTACATATATGTGCATTTTCTGCAGTTTGAGATACAGAGGCTTAGCTC